GCAGTACCATGGACATAACAGAGTATACTGTTTCGCCTATGATACCCCGCATGCGTTGCCATTCTTGAGGACTCAGGTATTATTCCTCTGTACCCTGTAAATTCACGCCATATCCCACCCTTCAAACCGAAACATATAGATACATAGATAAATATAAAATAAGATATAGGCTATTAAGCCTGAATACTTATTGTTCTACATCTCAGTAAGCTACGTGGCTCCGTACACGTAATTTATTGACTGTTATCATTTTTGTACAAACGGCCATTATAGTCCCGAGTCCAATCACACTACAATTCAATTGTGCGAAAACACAAATAAAGGTCCACTATAGCATATGAATTGTTTGCATATTATGTTTTTATACATTTTGTATCTACTGCACATTGTTCAGTTGAAAGACGGTTAAATAATGTCGTTCGAGAAAAACGCTCGCAAAATGTTCCCACTAATAAGTGGCCATTGATTCAATTTTATTTATTTATTCTTTATTGCACAATAAAACTTTGTACAAATGGCGAGCTTAATGCCATATGGCATTCTCTACCAGCTAACCATTGGGTAAAAACAGCGTATGAAGGGCAGATGTGGTGAAAAATTTCATTATTGGTGAAAACTTACATTACTTCTTTATTCTTCTTTTGAATTGACTTAAAAAAGGTGAAGAATTTCAATTCAGTTGTATTCGTACATTCATTTATAAACCGATGTAGATTTTTTTATCAGAAACTAGCGACTCGCTACGACTTCGCACGGGTGCAATGCTGATACTAAATAGCGCCGCCAGCCCCCCATTACATTACGACATCACATTTGAAATCTCTAAAATTATCAGTGTTCCTCTACTATATTATGCATGTATTATACATATAAACCTTCCTCTTGAATCACTCTATCTATTAAAACACTTCAAAATCCGTTACGTAGTTTAAAAGATTTAAGCATACATAGGGACGGACAGACAGCGACAGCGACTTTGTATTATACTATGTAGTGAAGATATACTTTCAGATTGGTCCCATACAAAAATCAATTCAATTTATTTATTGCATTCAACAATATTATTATAAAAGATGTTAGTAATTGATGTAATACATTGTAGACCCTGTAGGGCGCTGCAATTAGAAGCGAGGAGGGCGTCGATCCTTAAATTTTCATAAATCAATTTCAATTTCATCGACGTAATTAAATTCTAATTAAAATCCAAATTAATTTAATGATTTTAACGATTCTTTTTTGCTTCCATATGTTTTATTTTAATTTAATGCAATTTAACGTAGTTGTTCATATTTTTGAACCATTTTGTTAGTATCCTTATCAATTTTAGTATTATTAACTAAACCAGTAATATTTATATGTTATGCGTTATTTTTTTATTACAATTTTTTATCATTTAAATATTCATCAATATCGTAATAAAATTTTTTAGCTAATAGTTGTTTTATTTGTGATATGAATACTCTATGGTTTTATTCATTTCATAATGTTTCCGGTAGATGATTATAAATGTTTACAGACATTACATAAGGGCTTGAGGAATGGAGTTTAAGTCGAGAGGAAGGCAGTTGGTGTTCATTTCTCTGTCTAAGACAATATTTGGAAGGTATATCATCACGTTTCATGTAAAAAACCGAATATTTCCTTACAAATTTGCTGATTTCTAAAATACGAGTATATATGCATGCTAAAGTATTTTGTGTTTTTGGAAATGAGGTCTACAGCTATCTGTTGATTTGATGTTCATTAAAATACGTATTAGTTTTTTTGGATAATGAAAAGAGTGGGTGCATCAGTGCTATTTCCCCACAGAAGGATACCGTAGCTCAGCCATGCATATGCGTATGCATAGTATGTAACTAATGCTGTTTCTATATTAGTAGTTTTTTTTTATTTCTCAAAATGCATATATAAAGCTAGATTGTTTAGTCCTTAATTTTTTTACATGTATTTTCCAATTTATATTCGAATCGATGTTTAAGCCAAGTATTTAGAAATCCTCTACACATTCTATTTTTGTGCCACTATAGGAAAAATTTATACATGTATTTTTCTTTTGGTATAGATGGAAAATCATTAATTTGGTTTTTTTTTTAAATTTATTTCTAGGTTATGCTCATCTAGCCAATTTGTGGTTTTTGTGAATAAGCTATTTAGTTTAATCGTTTATTTTTATATTATCTTGGCATGATGTTAATAGTGTTATATCATCAGCAAATAGGACACACGGTTCTTCCATAATTTTAGGTAAGTCATTTATGTATATCAAGAACAGTAAACATCCAATGACGCTTCCTTGCGGAATTGATGCATTTGTGATTTTATTTTCCGAACGTACTTTTGTTATTAAACCAGTAATCCTATCATAGTATTCTATCTCGACATATTGTTCCCTGTCTTTCAAATATGACGCTAACCACTTGTGGGCCATACCTCTTATTCCAATGCCGTATAGTTTATTTAACAATACATTATGTTGCACTTTATCATATGCTTTTATCATATCTAAAAATATTCCTATTGCATATTTTTTACTTTAAAAAAATCTGTTCAATAGTTAAGTTTATAATCAAAATAACCGGTTTTTCTACAATTGAAGTCGGTTTTTTTTTATGAAACAAAATCTACTTGTTAGGTCACTGTAAACAATCGTGACTTAGCATCGTGATTGTAAATATTAAGTACTTCACACGTACAACATTCCTACTTGATGTACCTCCAGATTAGTCAACCATGCACATTGTAGAGGCATTGAGTGATGCTAGAACAGCTTATTATATCTACGAACACATTGACCCCACGTTAAATGAACTTGCGACATCAAAGTGGCATTAACAAGACAAATTGAGAGACTTATTCAATTTTTTTTTCTAAAAAATGTACTGTCACATTCAAGACCGTTTGGCTTCGTCAGGTGTTTGCACCACCACCTATCTCTCAACTATTTATAAAAATGTGACTATAGAAGTTCCTTTCGTGATAAGAAAATTCAATTACACGTCCTTATATATTAGAATACAAGAAATTAAAACACAATCAGGGGAATGACCCCATCTTTTCGTGGTTGCCATAAAAGGCGATTAAGGGAGCTTAATGGTCGAAGAACAGCGACGTCCCTCTTAAAACATCAGCAATCTAACTACGTTTGCCAACCCGCCTGCCAAGATAGATAGACTCTTTATTGTTTCCTCCAAAAGATTACAATAGTAAACATATTATAGATACAAACAATTACAAGAAATAATCACAATGAGAAAACAATGGGCGAGCTTATCGCTAAAAGCGGTATCTTCCAGGCAACCTTTGGATGGAGAGGAGTAATTATAGACAGTTTAATTGGAGGCACGGAAATTCTATCATTTCTAAATATGGAGATGGAAATACATGTAATAATGTAAATTAAGCGTAACAATTATTGTCAAAATCACCCTAAAAGGAGACAAATGACGATGTCGTCATCGTCAACATCATCAAGACAATGAGATCGCTGCCAAAGTTTTCCCTAGAGCGTACAGTATGGGGTTCGTCAAAAAGGATATAATTACGGTTTTCTTAGGGTCGGCAACGCGCACCCTAAAACCTTGGTGTTATAGGCATCCACAAGCTACAGTGTCTTTACATCAGATGGACTTATGCTTGTTTGCCACCTTCATGGTATAAAAGAAATGAAAAATCTGTCTAAAATATACTAAATAATACTTATACGACTTCTGGATTCTCAGTTTGAAACAAGGTATTCTGTATTTTGCATGCCGTCTCCGCTCACTCAACATTCATCTCATACACTGATGTGAATCAATGTTCAGAATATCAATCAGCTGCTGATTGCCCTCGTCAAAGCCATTTACAACTTGACTACATTGACCAATTTGGTTTTCGTGATAGTATATCCTTATTTATATCAACTAGGAAGAAATTAACTTCCTCTACTGGAAACAATGATGCACGCCATTGAACATTTAATTAAACATTTTACATTTTATTTTATTCGATCTCTCTCTAATTTTACTGTAAGGGGGATATAGATTGTGAGTTATGTGGTCCACCAGTCCCATTGCTAGCAATATACGGTATCAGGTCAACCTCCTCGTAGTCCCCTCTTGGAAACAATCGTGCTGAATTCCTGGTGTCTTTATCACGATGGGCTAACCTGTCTTTCCATCCTCACCTATCATCGGTCACTGGTGCCCCGCCAGCGTATACCGTCAGCGCAGGCGGGGTTACCATTTCATTATCATCCGTTAAAAAAAGTTACTGTAAGTTAATTATAAAGCTGGTTGCTATGCAAATGCTTACCGTCCGTGTACTGATCATGCAAAGCACAAAAAAAGTGTTTTTCCCATTTGACATACGAATATGATTGTGTAGACTTTATTTGTCAGATCAGAGATGACACTGATCTAATGATGACGTCAGTGCTCACCAACGTTAGTGTTTTAGTGTCATTAATAATTCACTTAGTCAAGTTTTTAAATAACTTAAAAATAAAGTTCTAAATTTTTCTGCACATATTTTACTAGAGGGAGACTTTGTACAAAAGTCCTTTGTTTGGACACCTCTGTCCCATTCGTGTTTCTACCGTGATGCAGTTTTGTGCAAACAAAGTGGCTGTGTTTCGGTTTGTAGGGTGAAGTATATGGCAGTTGTGAATTTACAATTTATATACAACGAGGAAATACATTACCATCAGTCCCCAAACTAGGCCAGACCTGTATCTTGGGGAGTCGTCAGGAATGGCAACGCATGGGGTGTATCATGGGCGAAACAATATATTCTGTTATATCCATGGTACATATCTATATGCGACGGTTACCACTTTCTATCAGGTGGCCCTTCTTGTTTGCCATTCTAAGTTGCATAACATATTTTATACAACAGCCCAATAAAAGGAGTATAATATTTTCAGGACTCCTGTGTTTCTTCATAACTTGATAACCACCAGTTACATACTTGCAAGCTCTTTAGAGAAGGTACAAACTTAGTTCAACCTAAGACCGACTCACCTCCGCCACAATGGTGTCGTTCGAGGCGTACAGCCACCGGTCGCATTCCTGCAACTCCTCGGCGAAGGTGGCGCCGTCGCAGGATTGCTGCGGGTCGAGCGGGGAGCGCCGGGAGCAGCGCCGCTCGCGGCCGCCCGCCGGCAGCGCGGCATCCAGCCACGGCGGGCTGTACTCCGTACTGTTGAACGCTTCACACTCCGGTACCACGCATCTGGAAACATTACATTTTATTAATACTTGTATATTCGTTCCAACACGATTGCCCGTATGCTAAATCTTAAAATTACTCAGCGAGCTTTTTTTTTTTATACAAATTAGAATCGCAAACAAGCTGACGGCCCACCTGATGTAAAGTGGTAACCGTCGCCTATAGACATGAGCAGTACCATGCACATAACAGAGTATACTGTTTCACCCATGATACCCCCCATGCGTTGCCATTCCTGAGGACTCAGTTGTTATTCCTCTGTACCCAGTAAATTCACGCCATATCCCACCCTTCGAACCGAAACTCAGCCATGCAAACACAACTGCTTCACGGTTCTAACACGAATGGGACACCTCTGTCCTCTACTCAAGCAATCGACTTTTGTACAAAGTCTCCCTCTGGTACAAAAGCTACGGAGAGGGCTACACTCGGAGTTTCTTTGCGTGACAAAATCCAAAATAAGAGCATACATATATCAGCAAAAGAACCTAAATCATCGACATAGCCCGAAGAATTAACAAACTGAAATGGTAATGATCAATGGTCACATAGCTCGAAGACAAGCTCGGCCGACAATCGATAGGGAAAAAAGATTGGTAGAGATGTATATTTCCGATGGTTTAGTCATAACTGATAAAATTAACAAATAAAAATGGCAATAGGCTGGCCACATAACTCGAAGAACCGATAACCGATAGGCAAGAAAGGTTCTAGAGTGGCAACCCTATACGGGCAAACGTAGTGTAGGGCGACCTTCCATGCTGGCGCTCAGGTGCTGGTGGCTCAGGACCGTTTCTAATAGCAATCTATGGAGGAGGCCTATGTTCGGCAGTGGAATGGCTGAGACTTCGAACCAATGAAGCAGTACTACTTCTAATGGTAGTACTGCTTCAGAGGGAGACTTTGTACAAAAGTCGATTGCTTGGGTACCTCTGTCCCATTCGTGTTTCAACCGTGAAGCAGTTGTGTTTGCATGGCTGTGTTTCGGTTTGAAGGGTGGGATATGGCGTGAATTTACTGGGTACAGAGGAATAACACCTGAGTCCTCAGGAATGGCAACGCATGTTGGGTATCATGGGCGAAACAGTATACTCTGTTATGTCCATGGTACTGCTCATGTCTATAGGCGACGGTTACCATTTTCCATCAGGTGGGCCGTCAGCTTGTTTGCTATTCTAAGTTGTATAAAAAAAAAAGAAGTATATCTTCATATACGTATATAACATACACCAGACTTTAAATTAGACCCCTAGGAATACAACTGTAAAAACTATATTTAATTTAGTGCAATAGTTTTACGTAACGCTAGAACAAGCATATAAAGTAGACAGACAAACAAAAATTTTAAAACATATCGTCTTTTCTTATTTTCCTACGTTCAAACATTGTCTATTTAAAATTTAATTAGGTATACCTAGATAGTTTTACCGTATGTACTACTTCATTTTATCATCAGAATGGCGAGTGAACAAAAACAATACACCAAGAGAGGAAAAACTGGACTAATAAAATTAGAGTACCTACAAATTGTTCGCTTCTGTATTTTGGGTAAACGGAGAGTCATTGGAAATAAACCAATCTACTGGCAATATGATAATACAATTTCTGTCAACAATAGATAGGAATGTTTAGGGTTCATGCAGTTTATTTGAACATAGTAGCTTATCATAAGCAATATTATAATACTTTGTACCTTTTCTACATAATGGAACGAATAAATAATTTACATCTGATATACTAAAATAACATAATAATGTAAATAAAATATGTATTTTTTTTTTTATGGGTGAAAATGGTATGGTAACCCCGCCTGCGCTAACGGGATACGCTGGCGGAGCACCAGTGAAGGGTGATAGATGAGAATGAAAACAGGCCAGTTAGCCCATCATGATGAATTCATCAGGAATTAACCATGATAGTTTCCAGGGATAACCGCGAAGTCGACCAGGTTGGGTATATTGCTAGCAATGGGATTCTCAGTCTCCATTACTAATAATCCCTTTCCCCCTAAAAAATTTATTAAGGATCCAACATTCACAATCCAACATAAAATCTCAGACAAACCTATTCTAACAAAAGGAACTAAGTTTCAAATAATTTTTTGCTTGCTACGCCCGCGTACGTCTTCTATTAACATAATTGCACCTTCTACGAGTATATTGTATCTATATTGTATGGACGAGCGGAAATACGCTATTACAGTTAAAACATGAGACTGTATGTAATGTTATCACAAGAATTATAATAATGATACGTCTGTTGTCGGTGTGTCGACCGCCCGGCGGCCGACACGACACTTGCGGACAGTGGAGCAATACCTGTGTAAGGGTTTTTTTATGCATCTTAGAATGGCAAACAAGCTGACGGCCCACCTAATGGAAAGTGGTAACTGTCGCCTATAGACATAACAGAGTATACTGTTTCGCCCATGATACCCCCCATGCGTTGGACAACACCTGAGAACTCAGGTGTTATTCCTCTGTACCCTGTAAATTCATGTTTGTATGTAAAATACATCCTCATCATCCACGCCAATATCCGTCCAGTGCTGAATATAGGTCTTCCCTATAGATTGTCCTGAGCCGCCTGCATCCACTGATGCACTTGAGATCGTAACTCCATCTAGTGGGGCGTCACCCTACACTGCATTTGCGCGTACGGGGTCGCCACTCAAGAACTTCTTAATTATTATTCTTATTAGTACAATAACATAACGAAGTGTTTGGAAGCGATTGCGAGTATTATTCAACAATACACGTACCTTTTATTATTGTTTGTATGAAGACTTCTTTTTTTATAAGTCTGATCGTATCAAACCAATAACAACGTTTTTTTATCAGAGGGAGACTTTGTAGGTACAAAGGTTGTCTGCATGGGTACCTCTGTCCCATTCGTGTTTTTACCGTAAAGCTGTGTTTGCATGGCTGTGTTACGGTTTGAAGGGTGAGATATGGCAGTGAATTTACAGGGTACAAAGGAATTACACCTGAGTCCTTAGGAATGGCAACGCATGGGGGGTATCATGAGCGAAACAGTATACTATGTTATGTCCATGGTACTGCTCATATCTATAGGCGACGATTACCACTTTCCATCAAATGGGCCGTCAGTTTGCATGTTCTAAGTTGCATTAATAATAATAATATAAAATATGTAACAAATCCTTTTTTAACCGACTTCCGCAAGGGGGAGAATCTCAATTCGTCCCAATAACTTAAAATCGCCTTTTGTTCTATTTTTATTGGTCAATTTTTTAGTTTGAATAAACAAATATAGCTGGTTTATTGATTGTTAACGATCATTGTAGACAAACAATGAAATACCACTTGACTGGTAAGTAAACATTCTTAACTATATGCTAAAGGGGGGAAAGGAATTGTTAGTACTGAAGACTGAGAATCCCATTACTAGCAATATACCCAACCAGGTCGACTTCCACGCGGTTCCCTCTGGAAACTATCATGATTAATTCTATATGAATTCATCATGATGGGCTAACTGGCCTGTTTTCATTCTCATCTATAACCCTTCACTGGTGCTCCGCCAGCGTATCCCGTTAGCGTAGGTGGGGTTACCATTCCATTTTCATCCAATAAAAACAAATTATATGCTAAACGATTACTTAGAAGACTAGACGCTGTTTGGCCGTATACCGTGTTTTAGACATGCAAATTAATAAATATTATATTAACATACAGATTAGACAAGTTCATTTTGATCTTACGCCATTTTGAACAAAGTTTTTTTATGCAACTTAGAATGGCAAACAAGCTGACGGCCCACCTGGTGGAAAGTGATAACCGTCGCCTATAGACATGAGCAGTACCATGGACATAACAGAGTATATTAGTTTAAATTAAAATGGCTGCTTCAAAGTACAAAATGAATATGGGACTTTTTTAATGGCTGATAAAGGAATGGCAACCCCGCCCGCACTAACGGTATATGCAAGCAAGGCACCAGTGAGAGGTGATAGGTGGGGATAAAAAGGCAGACCAGTTAGCCCATCGTGGTGGATACACTTAGAACTTAACACGATGGTTTCCAGGGGAAACTACGTGGAGGTAAACCTAATAGGGTATGTTGCTAGCAATGGGACTGGTAGTTCGCATTACCCCCGGATACACGACAGTAAACTACCATACCTTATCGCTTGCAAATAGAACTGTCAAAATAGAATATGCGACGTATTCACATAACATAGCCACAAAACTACAGCCGCATTGAGAATTTCCTCCCATTGGTAAACACTTAAAGAGTGATACAGTACAGAAAACATATTTTGAAAATAAATATTTAAAAATAAATCTCGAGGACTCATTTACAGAGACTACATTTATAACTGTACAGCCTTCAAATATAGTAACATGTAATAGTTATTTTTTGTGTATATTTTATACTTTTTTCCTGTCAGTTCAAGAGCTCCTGTAATTTTTTTCTGAAAAAAAAATGCGTATCACTAACTGTCCGTAATCTATGGATTATCGTATGCGATCATATAGTTTTTTATTGGATGAAAACGGAGTGGTAGCCTCGCCTGTGCTAACGGGATACGCTGGCGGGGCACCAGTGAAGGGTGATAGATGAGGATGAAAACAGGCCAGTTAGCCCATCATGATGAATTCATCAGGAATTAACCTTGATAGTTTCCAGGGGGAACCGCGAGGAAGTTGGGTATATTGCTAGCAATGGTATTCTCAGTCTCCATTACTAACAACCCCTTTCCCCCCCCCCCCCATCCTCCCTCTTTAATCAATAAATAGTCGACTCTCGTATATTTAAACAATATTATAATATCGAGCGTGCACTTTGCAAGGTTTTCCCAGAAGACTATAGCATGGGGTTCTCCAAAAAGGGGGTAAAGAGGTTTCTTCGGGGTCGGCAACGCGCGGCTAATACCTCTGGTATTGCAGGCGTTCATAGGCTACGGTAACCGCTTACCATCAGGTGGGCCGTATGCTTGTTTGCCACCTCAGTGGTATAAAAAAAACTTGCATTTCTTATTGTGACGACGCAAACAATCGTCCGACATATAAATATCTTATATGATGGAATGTATTCCATCATTGACCTTTATTTATATTGAAATTGAATAAATGTTTGTATTTGACTTAAGAATGTTATGTCAAATAAAATTTATATCTTACTAATATATTATCACATCTGTTTACATAATATCCATGTCACATTAAAATCATTGAATGCATAATTAATGTATAAAATATTAATAATATATTTCTTTTCATCTTAGAAGCGAATAAAATACAATCCTCAGCACAAGGTGCTAAAAAAATTAAAAAATTATATAAACTTGAAATTAGTTTTTTGTTTGATGGGTGAAATGTTATAGTAACCCCGCCTGCGCTAACGGGATACGCCGGCGGAGCACTAGTGAAGGGTGATAGATGAGAATGAAAACAGGCCAGTTAGCCCATCATGATGAATTCATCAGGAATTAACCATGATATTTTCCAGGGGTAACCGCGAGGAGGTCTACCTGGTTGGGTATATTGCTAGCAATGGGATTCTCAGTCTCCATTACTAACAATCCCTTTCCTCCCACTTGAAATTAGTTAGGTTGGTGTGGATGAAATGAAATTAATGTTTCGTTTCAACTATACTCTTGATTTTGTTTGCTACTTAGATATATTAAATCAATAATAAGAGATCTTTTATAAATACCTTAAGTACCTAAAAAACATGTTGTAAGTGAATATTTGTTTTGTTGCCTATTAGGAAGATGGAAATATCACAATTACAAGTATATAAATATCCAAATTTATTTTTTATACAACTTAGAATGGCAAACAAGCTGACAGCCCACCTGATGGAAAGTGGTAACCGTCTCCTATAAACATGAGCAACAGACTATACTGTTTCGTTCATGATACCCCCCATGCGTTGCCATTCCTGAGGACTCGGGTGTTATTCCTCTGTACCCAGTAAATTCACGCAATATCCCACCCTTCAAACCGAAACACAGCCATGCAAACACAACTGCTCCCCGGTTGAAACACGAATGGGTCAGAGGTACCCAAGCAATCGACTTTTGTACAAAATCTCCCTCTGGTAATAATATTCCACTGTATAAAAAAACTGACTTGGTAATTGTCCTACCTCCTACCACCATCTACATAAATATAAAGTACCCTCCGAGAGATACAAGAAAGAAGATAGAACAAACAGTGCACATTGGCAAAATATCGTTAAAATCTTTTAAACGGTATTAAGAAATAAATGAGCATCGTGACACCATGTTTTTATTTATTGAGATATAAAAAACCGGTAAAGTGTAAGATAAACTCACTCGCCGAGGATTCCATACATAATATGTATCTAAAAATGTATATCTATATATCTATAAAAATATATTTAAATATGTTGTAAACTTTGTCGTTGCTTAAGTATTCCTTTTGGATCCTCTAAAAATCAGAAATAAAAATAATTACACATTCCGTGTTACATTTTATACCATACTGAGGTGGCAAACAAGCATACGGCTCACCTGATAGTAAGTGGTTACATGAAGATGTTTTTTTATATAATATATATATATATATATATATATATATATATATATATATATATATATATATATATATATATATATATATTAAAGTACAATAATAATAGTATAAAAATAAATAAAAATCTGTTTTAAATTATTCAATAAATTTGATAGTGACTGCTGAGATATAGCACTGTGACAGACGAATAAAGTCGTACCATGAGGATTCCGTTGTACCGTTTTGGTATGAAACTCTCAAATAATTATTCAGTTTAAAGTGCGATCAGCGATGCAGAGGACAGACGGCTACCGAAAACTTGGCACCGTACTATTGCCAATATTGCAGAGTATTCATCAAATACCTTTAAAACAGGTCTCACTTGACATTGAGCTGCAACTTGGCAAAAGTTGCCTCACTGTACAGTACACACTTACTCGATAAAGTTTCGTAACATCGCGACATCATAATAAATCCCTTAACACTGCAAAGAATGTTTAAGTCGCATGTTGAATGTTTAAGACGAGACGAGAATATTTTGTGCCTTCATGTTTTTTTATAAAACTTCCAATAGTAAACAAGGTAACGGATCACCTGATTAAAAGTGGCAGCTCTTGCTCAATAGACATTAACAAGCACCTTGTCCTGTGTAATGGGCATAGGCCTTCCAAATTGAAAAGCTTTGTAAATTGAATACTGCTGCTGCACGGCAGAAAAACGAGTGGAACAGAAATATCCATGCAAATAACTTGTCTTCCTCCATTGGTCCTTGGGATTACGAATATATTAAAAATGTTGTACATAGAAAGGAAAGGAATTGACAGTAATGGGGTCAAAGTTCCATTGCTAGCCCTACCAGATTGACCTCCACGCAATTTCCCCCGAAAAGAATCGTGGTTAATTCTTGTTGAATTCGTCACGATGGGACAACTAACCTGCATTCATCAATTGGGGGAAAGGGATTGTTAGTAATGGAGACTGAGAATCCCATTGCTAGCAATATACCCAACCAGGTCGACCTCCTCGCGGTTCTCCCTGGAAACTATCATGGTTAATTCCTGATGAATTCATCATGATGGAGCTGACTGGCCTGTTTTCATTCTCATCTATCACCCTTCACTGGTGCTCCGCTAGCGTAACTGTTAGCGCAGGCGGGGTTACCATACCATTTTCACACATAAAAAAAAACCTGCATTCATCCTCACCTATCGTCACTCACTACTAGCGTATACCTATTACAAAACAATGTTGTATATTTACCTAAAGGAAAAATTTACATAGATTATATATTTTAATTATTATTTTACCTCTATGATTGACTCTTGATTTATTATAATTTTATTGATTAACTCACTTTAGTTTTATTCCCTTTGTCCTTTTGTGAAAGCCAGAAACCACGGACCATCACTGATTTGTGTTTTAATATAATTTAAAATAGCTTATTCACCCATTTGATTTTACGTAATTCTATAAAATAGAAAGTAAATTATTAAAACCGATGTAGAGATCGTGCAACTCTCTATAATACAGTATGTTAGACCGACCTGTAAGGCACGTCTGCAGCTAGAAACACGTAATTGATCGCGTAGAGTGCAGCAGCGAACACGGTGAGGGCCAGCAGAAAGTAGTTCATCACGTGGAACCGCCGGAACTGGCCGAGCTCATGCATCAGCCGGTCCGTGTCGAAGGTCGCCGCCATCCTCTCATTGGCACTAGCTACTTTACTCATTCTCACTTTCACTTTCTTCTCACACCACAACGAAGAAGGATAAAGTATTAAAATTTAGTTTATTTTATTAATAATTTAATTAAGACGTACTTTGTTAGAACTATATAATTAAATTAATTTAATTATTTAACGAACATTAAAGTTTAAATAACGTTAACGTTGTTGTGAAAGAATATTAATCGCGTATTATTTTTTCCGTTTAATTTTCTATAAAACTGAATTTAGTAGTACTTTTTATTTTACATATATTATAAATTATTTATTTCTGTTTTCCTTTTTAATAAAGAATATTATAAATGTTTAATTGAAATATAAATGTATGAGTGTGTGGCAATACGTGCGCTTAGCTGCCTGATCGCAACAGGCCTGCGCTCGCGCAACCACTGCACCACCAACTGAATAGAAGATACCGCACACTAGTGGGTATTGTTGCTAAAACTCGTAAATCCACACGACGCTGACAGCTGACATTGGTACTAACTTTTTAAACCAGTATGTAAATGTTTTAAAGTTGGTTAAATATTATTTGGTTTGGTTATCGGTTTAAAGGGTGGGATATGGCATAAATTTACTGGGTACGGAGGAATAACACCTGAGTCTGCAGGAATGGCAACACATGGGGGGTATCATGGGCGAAACAGTATACTTTGTTATGTCCACGGTACTGTTCATGTGTATAGGCGACGGTTACCACTTTCCATCAGGTGGGCCGTCAGCTTGTTTGCACTTCTAAGTTGTATAAAAAAAAATTATAAAACAATAATATACAATTACTTTACAAATAGCTGTACCGTATTCGCCCGCGTCGATCATTGTATAAAATGTTATATGTTTTAAGTTAGAATATAACCTGCCCGTATACTAAATTCTAATCGAATCCATTTAGTAGTTTTTTGCGTGAAAGAGTAATAAACACTATTCGTAGACCATCACAAACTTTTGCATTTGTACATTTTTCTCACATATTTTCAAGTGAGAAGTCGTCTAAATGGATACCTCTGAACTACTTATATCATAATATCAACTATCCACGTCCGGGGGAAAGGGATTGTTAGTAATGGAGACTGAGAATCCCATTGCTAGCAATATACCCAACCAGGTCGACCTCCTCGCGGTTCCCCCTGGAAACTATCATGGTTAATTCCTGATGAATTCATCATGATGGGCTAACTGGCCTGTTTTCATTCTCATCTATCACCCTCCACTGATGCTCCGCCAGCGTATCCCGTTAGCGCAGGCGGGGTTACCATACCATTTTTACCCATAAAAAAAAACCATCCACGTCCACTGCTTACCATAAGCCTCCCTCATACAACAACCCAAACGACGGGATTTTTCTTAATGGGTGATAATGGAATGGTAACCCCGCCCGCGCTATCGGTATACACTGGCGGGGCACCAGTGATAGATGATAGGTGACGATGAAAGCAGATCAGTTAGCCCATCGTGACGAATTTAACAAGAATTGTTCACGATGGTTTCCAGGAGGAACCACGTGGACGTCGACGTAATAGGGGATACTGCTAGCAATGTTAGCAAACTCCATTGCTAACAATCCCTTTGTCTCCCAACCGATGGGTAGACAACCGCAATTAGGCTTTCTTTCTTTATTTCTTTATTGTACACAAAAGGTTATTGAAATGTAAAAACAAACATAATAGTGCACAAAGGCGAGCCTATCTCCAATAGAGATTTCTTCCAGCAAACCCAATATGAGAAAACTGACAGTTCATTAGTAGTTACAGTCACACATGTGTACCGATCGACTTAAATGTTATAGTTAAAAGAAATAAATAAAATGTCTTTACAATTGAAAAGACCGATAGGTATAAATCAATCAAGTAATGTTTTAAAAGGGATGCTGCTGCTCCATTAAGTTTACTTAGTCACCTTAACCCACGAGAAAGGCGTGACCTACTCGTATCTATGCCGAAGCCACATGGCAATTATTTTTTCCATCAAACAGCTGTGTTTTCATGGTATTTTTCTATTTAAGAGGTCAGTAAAAGTACATAGAAAGTGCAGTATATTACGCAATAACGTAAGTACATATATTAAATTTATTAAAATTGACTAACGTAAAGTACGTACTGTACGTAAGGTACAACACTAAAATGTTGTACCTCAGTCCTCGGGATCGATCAGGGGTATTATGGGCGTCACTGTATATTCTGTGATCTCCTCGGTATTATCTATAGACGATTACCATTTGTCATCAAAACTTCGCTCAGGAAGCGAAATAATCTGTTAATGGATCAATTTATTTATTCTTTATAGGCTTATTGTTCGTGAAATTTCTTTCATTATAGGTGACAAGTTTTTAATTTTCTTTTTACATTTACATTATATTATATTAATATAGTCAAATGATAATATTTTAATTATTTCTACTTGTACAATAACACATTTTTTTATCTATTTCATTCATAAAATATTATTCTTTAGTGAGGTCAAGGATTATGAAAATATATAAGCCTTTTTCTATAAATATGGCAAGACCTTGATAAAATATACATAAAGCATTCAATTAAAATTAATTACTAATATATACGACGTCCTTCTTAATCGTAGTAGGCGTTTATTTGTCAAAATCTTCTGTAATTAACTATGGTAATGAACATTGTCTGAACAATAACGTAAGCTTCACATGTGCCTTGCGTTCTAATGACATGAGAAACAATACGAAAGCTTCTCTGATACGTCTGATTAGAAGTAGTAATCATCGCCTACAGACATGAATAACACACACATGTAGGGGGGGGGGAGGGATTGTTAGTAATGCATACTACAAATCCCATTGCTAGCAATATACCCTTTTTCATCGTCACCTATCATCCCTCACACACACATCCACAGATACACTGTGCTGTCCATACTACCCGAGCGTTACTATACCTTTTTTTGTTACAAACATCTTTAAACATAAGTGAAACCCTGGCACCCTGCTCCCTGAATAGGTAAATCCTATGGTATCCCTGAATAATATATATATATATATATATATATATATATATATATATATATATATATATATATATATATATATATATATATATATATATATATATATATATATATATATATATATATATAAACTATGATGAAACTGAAGATTTATTATTGGTAGTATCTTATGTTATGACTGCCATTTTATTCATCCATCCATTCCATACACTCACCAATTAGACAAATTATATTATTGTATTAGTACCTTAAGTTTTACTGTTCCTTATATATATATATATATATATATATATATATATATATATATATATATATATATATATATATATATATTAGGAATATATGCGACCAAAATAGGCACCACTCAGCCAAATGTCTAGGCATTCATACATAATGTCTAAACGTTCATTTTCTGTGCAACCAACACAGGTGGCGGTGACAAATGACATACCGAGTAGATGCATTAATACATTTTAATGATAATAATACTAATTACCATTATAATTAATATATTAATGGTTTGTTGGTAGAGAATATCATATGGCATTAACATCGCCACATGTACAAATAAAACTTTCATTGCACAATAAAGAAATAAATATTATTGCGTTTTAATGTATACATAAATATATCTCAATCCACAATACAAAGCCCCTGCTTGCAATGAACTGCAAACATTGACAAACGTACAACAACGAGTACGTAACGGCAAAGTCACATTAACAGATATTCCATGCATTGGTAATCACGAGAACTACTAAATACCGGCTAGGTATTACATATAAATTAAAATTAAAAAATAGTAGGTACGTAAACCACCTGTGGGCGACAAAGGATACCAGGAATAGATATTAGAAATATATGTATATTGACGAAAGAAACTTAGAAGACTAGGGCCGTGAAGGGAAGCCAAAAGAAAACAATACAGATGCGTGTCAATTTCGATATTAATGAATAATAATATAAAAACTATAATATATATGGCCTGTACTTCACACCGTCATTAGGTAGCATTTTATAATTAAAACAATAATAAAGCAGTCATACGACGAAAACATGTGTCTAATAAAATGCATTAAACAAATGTACTTCGGCATCGCTGCCGTGAGTCCTTCAGACTATTTTTTTTTGATGAATGAAAATGGTATGGTAACCCCGCCTGCGCTAACGGGATACGCTGGCGGAGCACCAGTGAAGGGTGATAGATGAGAATGAAAACAGGCCAGTTAGCCCATCGCGACGAATTCAACAAGAATTGTTCACGATGGTTTCCAGGGAGAACCACGTGGAGGTCGACCTAATAAGGCATTTTGCTAGCAATGGGGCTGTCAAACTCCATTACTAACAATCCCTTTCCCCCTCAGCAAATACGGTGAGCGAGGGCGGGGTTACTATTCCATTATCATCCATTAAAAAATCTACAGTGGTAAATTATCTGTACAAATTCATGGTAGCAGTGTAGTAATGATTATTCTGTTCTTAATGTAACAAACGCCCCTACACAAGGTGAGCTAGTATACAAGTGCGACAGTAAACATTACGCAGCCATCGAGTACACCAAATACCACTGACGGTATGTGAGATTGACAGGAGGACCATTGCGCAATATAGAAAGGCCAACATTGAATTAATAGTTGATCATTGTCCGTCCACAATGGGGGACATTATTGTTGGTCATACACTACACGCGTTTGAAACTATTCTTCTATAGGCGGTACACTGTACAGCATATGGGAGGGAGTGCTCCACTGTGCTAGTGCACTGGAGTGCTCCACAACATTTAGAAGTTATGTCGGGCTATACTCTCGTACACTGTCCGTTTAACAGAGCTCGTACATGTTGGAAAAGTCTAATGTAAATAATAATAAAGTAACTATTGATTTCATGAGTGTAATATACATAATTTCGAATGAAGGAAATTCTGACATTGGGGTGCTTAATTTCCTGCAACACTACATCCACCAGTGAAAATGGATACTTTCTTTACTCCGAATCTCTTGCGGGATCGACAGAGAGAACTGAATGCCAAAAGCGTCTATACTTACATACAACTCTTGCTTCCTGCACTTTAGTATCTTATGTCATCCGTGCAAACCAGTTCCCAAAACGATTTCTCCCACAAATACAAAACAGCCTATCTTATTAAAATCGTCTAGGTCTCCCCCAGTACCCATCCATTTACACATTAAAATATTATAAAATCAATTAATATGCTAGAAAACATTATGTTTACAGGACAGAAAGTCAAATGTTTCTGCTACAAAGGACGGACGAGCCGTGGTAACATGGTATGCCATCTGTAAATACCCGCCGCACCATACCATACACATACAATACACATATCGTACATATTTATGATCTCAATTCCAAACAAGTCTTTCGATGTTTTATATTTAATGAAATTTATATTATAAGTGGTTATAGTGTATTCT